GCAGGCAGGCAGGCAGGCAGGCAGGCAGGCAGGCAGGCAGGCAGGCAGGCAGGCAGGCAGGCAGGCAGGCAGGCAGGCAGGCAGGCAGGCACATGGGCTTTAAGCCATTGCCATCAACCACAGCCACAGCCAAGCAGACCACGGCCCCTCGCTCCCCAAAGTCCTTCGACAGCATACAACACACATTTGCACACACACGCGCGCACTCACACGCATGCACGCACACACACCCTGCAGCGTGAGCACCGAGGACTCAGATGTCAACATCCAGGCGCTGTGCGATGCCATCCTCAAGGAGCTGGGCTTCTTCTCACCCGCGATGATGTACACCATTGGGTCCTCAGTGGTGCGTGTGCGCGGAACCACACACGCCCACCCCAGCATTCACAGGTCACCAGGCGCTGCTGCAACATGAGAGCAGGTCCAGTTGTTGCAGCGGCCCTGAGAGCCTCATTCGCGGAGTCTGCGGCTTTGGTTTCGCCAGCGTCTTGGGACTTTGCATGCATTCCCAGCTCATCGCCTCACCACGCACTCCACGCCGCCATGCTCCCCCCCCCCCTCCGCTCGCTAATGGTAGACCCTCCCTTCTGGCGCCGTCACCACGTGAGCAAACAAGTTTCGGCAGTGCTGCTTGCATCCGCGTGCTGAGGCCGCCCATGTGACACACGGGTCTCTCGCACTGTATGTCGTAGTCCGCTCCCCTTGTTGACGGGCAAACCGCACTCCCGCACAGTCTCACCCTCTGCACCAATCACGTCCTTGCTGTCTGACCTTGCTCAATCTCAGGACCTGCTCCACCAAATGGGGGAAGCCCGATGGGGCTGCAGGGCCCAGCGGCCACGAGGCGCAGCCTGCTCAGGCGGGCCCTGTTGGGGCGGCCGCGGCGCCCGAGGCGGCGGCGCCAGGGCCGGCGGTGCCAGGGCCGGCGGGGCCAGGGCCGGCGGCGGCGGCTACTGGGGCCGACGAGCCCAAGGCGGCCCTGGCGAAGGCTGCCGTGGTCGGGGCGGCTTCCCCCCAGGGTTCTCCCATTCCCCTTCCTGTGGCGGCGGCGCCCGTGACGGGAGCGCTGCCTGAGGCTGTCCCCGCGACGGCAGCGCCTCAGGTGGCCAATGCGCCCTAGTCTGCCAGACACGCTATGCAGCTGTGCGGGCTCGTCCACCGCCACAAAGGCGCCAGGGTGCTGTGATGCCCTCTGTGTGATGCCTGCAAATCCAGTACTTCGATGTGAGCGCACGTGCACACAACCATCAAAAGGCCGCAATGTTCGGCCACCGAACAATAACCATCTGCCACCTTGCGGCTAAGAGGTTTCCCAGCTTTTTGCTTCATAAACCTGCCGCCTGCCAAGCCGGGCAAGCATTCAAAAAGTCCCAGCAATTGCATGGCAGGCATTCCCATCTTCTCTTCTGGCGTGTGATGCATACCTCAACAATCACACCCGTACATAGGGTCACGCCATCACCATTGTGCCTGCATGTGCTGCAAAGCGCGCATGCAAAGCACAGCTTTTCTTCCTCAAGCCGCCATGCGCTTGTGGCAAATTGACGTCCTCAAACAGCTGCAATAGCAGACATTTCTCGTTGATTTTGGTTGCTGCGGAGAAGCACACACATTGGACGACACCTGAGAGTTCTGATTACAGCAGCCCGAGCCACAGTCGCACACATGTGCACTACACACGCACTTTCGCACTCTCATACACACGCACATACTTGCACACATATTCACACCCTCAAACCTCGGACTTTGTCTGGCGCAGCATTTTCAATGCTGCCCGCATTTCTGCCCTGGTGCCATGGACTTTTGCTGTGGATGCACACATCAGACGGTCTGTGCGGTCGGAGGGTGCAGTCCTCGTGTTAATGTCCATTTAGAATTGTCATTGAGGTGAATGCCATTGACTCATTTGATTGGATTCTTTGAGCCTGCACCTGCCATACGCTCAGGGGCAACCGCATGGATATGATCATGATGTAATACACCTTTACTTCCTGTGCTTGAGAAGCTGAGTTTGCCGTTTTTAGCCGTGCCATTCATGTGTTCTGCGAGAAAGGCTGATCTTGCTGTACTGCCTTGGTACGCTACCAAGCAGAGGCTCAGACAATGTTCAGTTTTGCTGGCACATCTCCATTGACCTTGATCATGCTACGCAAATATAGTGATTTGACCAGTTGACCAAAACAAGGTACATGGCTGGGATTCACATGATCATGTGCTGTTGACTCAAGTAGGTGAATGAGCAGGCGCTTGCTAGATTACCAAAAAATGAATTCTGATGAAAGAACCCAGACGTAGAATGCATGTGGCCCTCGCGTACCCCTGGGTGACAACTGACAAGGCGAGGGTGTCACCAGCTCAGACACTGCGGCATTCTCGACAGGCCAGGTGCGCTCGTCGCAGCGATCCGAACACGATCAGATTCATTTCTACCGAACACGCATGCACGCAAGGCTGCTCAACAACGTTTGTCCACTGTCACGCACCATTCTGCACAGCTGTCGTCGGTGGATGCGAAGTCGCACAGTAAACATCACTGTGTATAAATTCGCATGACTTCTAAGTGAGCGCGAGCCCGCTGTCAGATCGATGTGTATGTGCAGGTCTCGCGCACAGCCGGCAGCTCTGTGGAGGCATGAGCGAAATGCGGAGAAACATTCCATGCGCATATCTAGCGTTCGTGCTCCTGGAGTCACGTCCCCTGCGTGTGCGGCGCGTCACGCCGCAATCGAACAGCACCTGCATCGCGGCCGCTGCATCGTGGTGGGAGGTCTCGAGCCGCGTGCTCATCCCCTCGCATGCAGGGTGCTATGCAAGTACTACATGAATGGCTGCTGCGCCTTTGGCGATGGGTGCCGCTTCAGCCACGACATGGGTGACGTTCCAAACCAGGTAAGAGCACGCTGATGGCAGCAACAGCCGTTCATCCAGCACGCGTGCAGCAAGCAGGCAGGCCACCAGAGTCCTTTTGAACCATGCAAAGGAGAGGATTGTAGCGGCAGCACGCGCTGCCGCAGTCCCTCATGCAGCCCAGGACAAAAGAGCATGGGCTCATGCCGCGATGCCGACACCGGCATGCCCCGTCACCTGCAGGTGTGCAAGTTCTACTTGGCAGGCCAGTGCGCGTATGGCAGCAAATGCCGTTACGATCACGTGAGGCCCGAGTACACCAAAAGACAGCAGCAGACGCCGCAACAGGTGCAGGAGCAGCAGCGCGCCGGCGCCGCCGGCCCAAGCAGTCCAAGCAGCAGCAGGTGCGCGGCAAGCGGTTGGTGCTGTGCCCACCCGTAGCAGGATGGGCAGCAGCAGGGGCGGGCCAGCCGGGGCTACTGGGGAGTGCCGCGACTTCTGCAGCTATTGCATTTCAGTGGATGCCGCAGTTGCAGCATGGACCTGACCCACCTGGTTGCACATGCTGCCATGCGTGCGGTTTCCCCTACTGCGCGCGGGGTACTGGGCACGCCACACACAAGCACTCAACTGCTATGTGCGTTCTTTCGAACGCCCCCCGCGCAGTGCAAAGCCCGCACCTGCGGCCAGCAAACCGCCGCTGCCGCCAACAGCTGCCTGGGCCTTGCCCGCCGCCGCGACGGGCCCGTCCGGGCGAGCCAGCGGGGGTGGCGGCGAGCAGGAAGGAGGCGGCAGCGGCGGCGGCGGAGATGGTCGCGGGGTGTACAAGTGGCCAAGTGGTGCAGACGAGTTTGGCCTTTTTGAGAGCGTGGTGAGGGGGTTTGGCATGCTAGGGTCCGCAGCGTTGCTCTTGCCGTGCCTTGATCAAGCCAGAGGGTGACATGCGATCCAGGCGGCTTTGCGGTGGGGTGCGCTGGGCTGAGGCGCCGCAGGCCATGGCGGAACTGAACAGGGCAGGCGGCCCGCAGCGGGGCCCCGGCGCCGCGGGCAGGGCCGGCGCTGTCACGCCACTAGGAGCTCCCGTCAGGCCATGTCGACCGCACCCAGCTGCGTCGTTGCTTACTAATTCTTGACAGGATGACGCCCAGCAGCAACAGCAGCAGCAGCCCCCTTGGGAGGGGGACACTGAAGCGGATGAGATGGAGGCGTGGCAGCAGCAGCAGCAGCAGATGCGGCTACAGGGCCAGGTGCGGCGCCCGCCGGGGCAATCACGGCAGGGGCAGCAGCATGTGGAGGAGGGGCAGCAGCCGGAGCAGCAGCAGCAGCAGCTGGGCCAGGAGGAGGGGTCTGACTATTACGAGTGAGTCCTTGGAGCGTTGCAGGGTGGCAATCCGAGGGGCGCTCGGGTGTCGCGCGTCCGTGTGTTAGGCGCGCTTGCCAGGGTGGGGGCATGGGGATGTGTTGCGGGACGCCCCGCGGCTGCGCCTGGTGCGACGTTACAGCCTTGCCTGCCTTGTTTGGCCCCATCCAGGCCACCGTTGGCAGCAACTTGTGCCCCGTCCCCAGTCTTTCTGAGTCCTCACCACGACCTCTTTGCCCTCTTGCTTCAAACCGCAACTCAAGAGAGGAGTGCGGCGAGGAGGAGCACTTTGGCGGCCTGGGGCTTGAAGGCGAGGGCTGCTCGCCCCATCAATCCAGCGGCGGCGTCCACACCTACTTGGAAGGGGGTTATGGCGGCGGCGAGGCGGAGGGGCCTGGGGGCGAGGCTGGGGACGAGGTGGTGGACCCGGCTGACATCCCGCTGTGCCCTGCCTACGAGCGGGATGGCGCGTGCGCGGCTGGGGAGGACTGCCCGTTGGTGCACGGCGACGAGTGCGAGGTGCGGCGCGCGCGTATCCTGTGCGCATTTGATTACATGCATGCGTTTGGGGCGACAGGGTCGGCTGTCACCTGCAGCTGCAGGCTTTGGGGACTTGGCTGTGTGCATGGAGCGCTCGCCTGTTCGTCTGTGCAAAGCCGCGAGTCCCGGGTCTTCACGCACCACAGGAGTGCACAGGAGACCGCTGCTGCTTTCCATGCATTGTCTTCCATCCCCACGCCGCTCCACTCGTTGTACCCAAAACACCCCCGAACCTCCAGCTCCACGCACTCAACACACCCGTCATCACACGCCAGCGCACACAGCTGCCAGTGCCAAACGTGCCCAGGTGTCAGTTGCTCACTCCCTCTACACATACACACGCACACACGCACCGTACACCCATCCACCCCTGCCTCGCACCCATCGCCAAAACCCCCTGCGCCCCTCGCTCACCCGCAGCTCTGCGGCCTCAACAAGCTGCACCCCTACAATCAGGAGGCGTCGGACGCCCACAGAGCAGAGTGCGCCGCCGCAGCGGGGCGGCGGTCGAAGCTGGAGCGGGGCCGGCAGGTGGAGTGTGGCATCTGCTTGGAGAGGTGGGGTTGGGAGGGGCGCGGCCTGCAAAATCGTCCTGGGCCCGCGCCCGCCTTCTCGTTTTACCAAAAAGCCGCGTCTGTCTGCCGTGTCTATCGTGCAGCAACTGTGTGCTTGCAAGGAATTGTGGGGAGCTGCATGCACCCCCTACCGGTGAAACTCCAACCACAACTGCAACCTCGGTTCCTGTCGGCGATCTGTGGCGCGTCTTCGAAGCAAGAGTTTCTACGCAGCGAAGCGCAGCCCGGCCTCGCCGCCGTCGCCCACGCTAACCCCCCCCCCCGCCCCCCGCACCTAGCAGCCATCCACCTGCCGACCCCTCAC